TTTGTTAAAAATAAAAAAAAAAAAAACTTTGAAAAAAAAAAAAAAGAAATGTATGTGATTATGAGCTAACTTTAATGAATGATTATAAAATGCTTTTTGATGAATAATGATGAAATGAATCAAGTAAAATAAGAATGTAATTGATGAATTGAAATCATAAAGTAGGATGAGAGGTTGAATAAAACAGTCATGATGATGATTTAAGTGTAATCAGTAAATAACCTTTGGAAGTAGGCAACTGTTGATTTTTATTATGATTTAGCTGATGATTTTTTATGATCTTTGTAACAATTTACAATGTATGTTATCAGAATCAGTTTTATTGTCATTGTCAGTGATAAACACAGACTAGGAACTTGCAGTTTAGAACATCCGTTCGAAGAAAGACACACATAAACATGGGGCAACGAATGTCCAAGGTCTTTCGCACTACATTGCGCTATCTTTGTAGCTTGGAATACACACAATAGGAAAGATGAGTTAAAAAAGAGAGCTCTGATCCTKTATTTTACACAGAAACGTGCAAAAAAAAAAACCACACACATAGCAGAGCAAGTCAGCTTGGGAGGAGGGGGCGGGCTTAGGTCAGATAACATAAAGGGGAGGTAAGATGGGGCGGGGTCAGAGAATAGGTGACGTTGAGTGAGTGGGGGGTCCGTGCTAGGACCCAACCCTGGCCCCCTCCAGAGTTACATGATGTAATCTCTGCTCAGTTTGCTAGAGTTCAGAGTTTCCTCCTCCTCAGCCATTGGGTTCTRGGGCTGGGTTCAACACGGGTGATGGGGTTGGGAACGAATCAAGCTCTTTGTTGACAATCCATCCTAGGGAGATTGAGATAAACACTGCCATCAAGGCTGTGCTGCTGGGAGCCAAATAGATAGTGCAAATGTTTTGGAACAAAGCAGCCTTGAATTTCCTGCTGCATTTGAAATGTCTTAACCGCATCTCTGACGCTACATTTACACCAAACGCATTTTGAGCATCAGGAGCATCTGGTTTACGGGCAAAGTCAATGGTGGATGCACATCTATGGGCGTCTAGAAGCCAAGCAGCGCATCTGGCGCACATCGAGCAGCGCGGTTCGAAGCGGTGCGCATGTCATGAGCATTTTCCGTGGGTGCAACATTTCCAAAGCGTCCGATGCATGAGTTGGAAAATCTGAACTTTTACTGCTCGACGCGTCACATCAACCAGAGAGACTCTGCTCAGTGACGTACTGGTGACGGGCCAGAAATATCAGAAGCCCGGAAAATCGGATCACACAAACAATGGAGGAAAAACTGATAGTCCCATCATTTATGATCATTCCAGTGTCCATTTTTGTGATAGAAATTAAAAGGACTTTCCCTGGAGGACAATTGGTGAGGAAGTCRGCATGTTTGGTAAGTTATCAAAACTATGGTTAAAAGGCTCCTATTGCGCGTCTACGTTCACATCAAATGCGTCTGTCCTCACTGGACACCAGCATCGAGATGCGTGCGTTTTGAGATTTTTGGAAGCGCGCAGCGCGTTTGGTGTAAACATAGCATAAAAAAATCAGCCGAATTTGGGGTTCTCCTCACCTCTCACGTCTGAAGCATCACCCAGATGTAATCCTTACATGCTGGAGGCTTGCTCCTGAGCTGCAATCCTTGTCAGAATCACATCCAGTTTGCAAATTATTCCCCCAGCTGAAAGTCTGTGTGCTTCCAGCCTGGCAGAATCCTTCAAGTGCGCCCGACAGCTCCTCAAAGGCCCAAACCACTGTCAGGGTCGCTTTCACTTTCCGATAAATTTGGAACCCTCCTCTGCCGATCAGCAGAAATCCAATAATCATAAATCCACGTCTTCAATGGAAAGTGGTACCGACATATCAGATTCCAGCCTCAGGAATCAGACAAGTCTAGCAGCAACCATTCCACCCAGACAGCCACGTTCCCCTCGTTCCAAGTGTGGAAAAAATAGTGTCRATTGCATTGCAGGGAAACATCTAAAACTCACTGCTTTAAATGTTGACCAACACCTCAAGAGCTTCTCTGAGCTTGATGAGACATTTTCACAATATAATATTGACTCAGTTTTATGTTTTTTAGTATTGCCTTTGGAAGTCATCGATTCTTTGCCATTTATTTGTAAATAATAAATCAAATAACATGTATTAAAACAGTGATTCTCAACCCTAGTCTTTCCTGCATGTTTAGATGTTTCCCTGATTTGACACACCTGGTTTGAATGAATGAGTGATTAACAATCTTCTGAAGACCTGCTGAATAGCAGGGAAACAAGTACAACATGCTGGATAGGGGTAGWTGAGGACCAGGATTGGGAACCACTGACTTAGTGAAAGGTTGAGTTGATCTTTGAAAATTGTCATGTTGGTTATATTTTATTGAATTTTAATTCTTGCTGTAACCTGCTGCACTGCAATTAATAAAATCAAGAAAATTAGAAAWTTCTACAAAGCATGTGTGGACATTGAATCTTTGGTGTCATTCACAATTTCTACACAGTTTCATGAGTGTTAAATGGGTAAAGTTCTGAGTTCATGCAATCAATACTAGGTAATCTTACAGGTGCTTTAGCACACAGCAATCTATTTAAATAACATCCCTGGGGCTTACTCCAAGCCACTAAAAAACTTTACCCTGCCTTTACCAAGTTYTACTATCATATAGGACAGAGTCACAGTTAATTTAGGGTCTCCCGATTACGGCTCTCTGGCCAGGCTACTCGGATGAGGGTCCTAATCTGGATGAAATGGGTGTACCCTTTTAAAGGGATGTGACTGAAGCTGGGTTAACTCTCCTCCTCTCACTTAAACTGCTCCATCATCTACTCAGGTGAACCTGTCGGTGTTTGGGAGAAGTTCGGCCCCCATTAGATGGAAGGAATGAGTAAAACTAGGCTACGGTCCTTAGACTTGTGTTTACAGGTAAACTGAAGACTGCTAGCACCCCAGATGGCAAACAAACCCAAGATGCAGGATAGCAACAGCAGCACCGTGAATTATGCTCTCGGGTCGCATGTCTCCAAGAAATTTGATTGGTGGTTCTTGTATTTTATTGGCGGTTGGCAAAAAACTGAATGGTGTGTGGTACTGCCGTATAAACGGAACAAATTTTGCAATGCTTGTGATAATATTAAAAAACTTTGAAAAATGCTAAAATCCGACTTCATGTGGAGCAAACTTATCAGACAACTTCACCCTGGCGCGAACATGTTCCCATATGGGTGCCATTTTGTGTACATCTCTGTAATCACTGTGAAATGTCATAAATAAAAAAAGCTAATGTTTTCATCCATGTTGAAAGTGGTTGCTGTCTGCAGTGTGGAGCATTCTCAGCATTGGCTGGTTGCAGCACCATGTGACATCAACAAAATTTTAAAAATTCTTATATTGCGTCGTAAGCACGGGTGTGCACGTATACATGCACAAGCTTGAAATTTGACAGATTTCACCGGTCGCTTGGCTGGAGGACGGCAAGTGATAGTTGTCTCATCGTACAAGTTGTCTTGTTGCGAGGCACCTCCACTAAATCAGAAGCGCCTCGATACCAGCTTTCTTTCTTAAGGGTTAGAATTCCTTCAAGCATCAATTAGTTTTACCCGAGCAGTGTTATGAGAATTAAGCTGGTGGTGAGGAGAATTTGTCCAGACTCTTGCCACATTCTTCCGAGAGTCACGTCCATCCAAAAGCTTGACCCATCCAAACAGACTCTGGAAAATCACTTCTTGAACACTCGTGTTACCTGTGGTCTTCATAGGACATTGTTTTGATTTTGGACTAATGCTGTGTTCACACCGAATGCGATTTCAGTGTCAAAATTGTGTCCAGTACTTCAAGTTAGGCGCTTGTGCACTTTGAGATCCCCCTCCCCACTCCCCCTGTTGGTCTCTGTTTAATGACTGATGAAATAAAGTGGCTTTGCTGTATTAACTTGAGAGCAAGAGAATGTCACGCTTATCAGATAATTTCATTCATAATTAATTCACCAGAAAATTCAGAGACGTTCTGAGTTCGAGTTTCATCACCCAGGAGCTGTAAGCTAATGAGTCTCACTTCATTTTTGTCCCGAGTCCAGTTTGATGAGCCACTGACCTGCATTGGTGCCCACACCTCTTGCCAGGACACCGAACACAGACACTCAATTTCAGCTAAAGGGCTCCTGTCCATCTGTCTTGGGTTAGTGGACATGATTCTGGAAACTGTCCTGTCAGAAAATCTGTTACTACGTCACACAGTGGAGACTGATTGGTTGATACACCACGTCGAGCTGCAAAGTTCAGATTTTCCTACTCCAGCGTTCAAGGTGTGTGTCGAGCGCTGGAACGCCAAATTGTTCAAATCGCGCACTCTAATTGCGYTAGACGCGCTGCAGCACTTCCAGATGCTGCTTGACGCGTGTCCACTTAGACGTTGCTTGTAAATCCGATGATCATATTCAATGTTAACGCAGCGTAAGTGCAACCATTTATTGTAGTTGTTAAGAACCAGCACATTTGCTTTTTAACACAATGAATACAATGATCCTTTGCTATAACGCGGTTCACCTTTCACGGTCTCGCTGCTTGACGGATTTTTTTGTGCAATTTTTTTTTCCATAATGCATTGTGTTCTTCGTCCTGATTATCTATACAGTGTCTGTGCTCCACAGGCTATCAACTTGTCAGAGCCTGTAGGATGATTTAAAAAACAATAAATAACACCATATAACCATCTTCCAACCTGTTCTGCCATTAGAAATAAGTTCTAGACTTTTTCCGCTCTCCTTTCCTCCTACTTCGCGGCATACAACGTGTCAGCAGCTCATTTTTGCTGCTCAAAAAGCGTTCAGTGGGAACCCGGTGTACCGGCRTAACTACTTCACGGATTTCGCCTATACCGGGTTGTTTTTGGAATGCAACCCCCGCGAAAAACGAGGGATCACTGTAATGGAATAATGAGGTGTTTTGTCTGTTTTGGATGTCATAAACTTTTTTCCTCTGATTTTCTATCTCATTACGTCAATCCTGATTGGCTGGTGATCGCGACGCATGTGTCACCTACCCTTTTAAGTAGCTTGCACTGTGATGCAGCATCATTCGAAATAAGCACCTCTTCTCGCTTCGCCCCAGCAAGAAGGGTTGTCTGGTGAGACATTTCACTCATGCTATTCTAAGAACCAGGGTTACGCAAGTAACCTAAAGTTCTCATTCATAGCATTCGTTTCGATTTCTCACTATGGGATATTGAGACTCCCGTATTGCCAGACAGCTTATCTCTAGTGACCCCCAGCACTTAATTGTGTTTGTCTTGTTCCAGTGAAAGCCCTGTGTTTAAAACAGCTGAGGCCACACTTGGAACCATCATCCCCATTGATTTTCCCGTGGCCTGGACTGCGCAGCGCTTTACGCATAAGCAGATGTTCGTGATCACGGTRATTTCCTCCCACACCTCAGGGTCTGGCTTGGTGGCCATATCCTCACACAGATCAGCTTGGTATGCTGAGAGCATGGAGGAAACATTGAGCGCTTTAACAGCGACAGCTGCAGCTCTGTAAGCCCTTTCAGTCAAGGCGGACTGGAAGCGGTCCACCTTCGACGGTAGTGTGGGGGTTCTGGAAGATGTCCGGAGCCGTGGATGCAGGTGGGCTGCCACCACCAGCTCCACTGGGGGCATGCGGTGCATGCCCAGCTTATCCATGCCCTCAAAGTCCAAAGGCGAGGCTTCATGGATTTGAGAGTTCCCGCTGAACGGGCAGTCCTTCCAGGAGACCGCAACCTTGTCCAGCAGCTCAGGGAAAACCGGGAGCAGTTGCTTCGTCGTCCTAGTAGCCTGCGGCAATTTCTTCCCTTCGTAACGGGATCTGGGGGTCTCCGTTGCTACTTCAGGCCATGGGATATTGAGTCTGGAGGCAGTGCGTTTGCACACAGTCTGCATGTCCGTACTCCTAGCAGGAGAGACTGTTCTCTCCTCCTCTTCCCGGGGGACAGACCAGCCTGAGCGCTTTGGATGAAGACTTCATCGTCATCTTCATAATTTTCGGATACGAGGAGCTCCGAGATTATCTCGTCGTCGTCCTCATAGTCCAACTCCAGGACATCTTCGACAGGTGCGGGCGCTGGGGCTAGTTCCAGCTGGGAGCCCCAGCTTTCCGTAGCTTCTGGTCCGGTGTCCACGTCCTCCCACTCGTTGACGTTGGCAAGCGGCGGCCTGCCCGTCAAAGTACGGGCCCCTGCAGGAGAGGCTAGCTTGGCGTGCTAGCCGTCTGTGGAGGCTCTTCATGGTGAACTTGGAGCAGCTCGCGCACGAGCCCGGGGCATCAAGCGCCAGGCGGGCGTGTTCCAGCCCGAGGCACGTCGAGCACACCTGGTGTTGAACCTTGCTCGAAATTTTGTTACCGCAGCCACAGAAACAAGCCCCCGAGTCACTACCTCCTCTGATGTGAAGAGAAGCGGAATCCATTTCGGTTGCTGGTTTGCTAACCGAAATTGTATCTTAACTAAACAGGTATGTAAAGCCCGAAACGGAAGGCTGCATTACCTGGTATGCTAATACAGCAAAGTTTATAAGGTGAAAAGTGCTCCAGACTAGTAAAGGCTGAATCTAATGCAGCTAGCGCCCGTAGACGGAGTTAGCCAATTCACTCCGATCAGTGGACAGTTAAGCTAGTCTGCTAAAGAGAAATGCCTCGAAGCGAGAATAGGTTTTCGAATGATGCTGTGTCATAGCGCAAGCTACTTAAAGGGTAGGTGACGCATGCGTTGCGATCACCAGCCAATCAGGATTGGTGTAATGAGATAGAGGCTTCTGAGGATTACGCGGGGGAGCATATCTCATAGTGAGACTTCAAAACGAATGCTATGAATGAGAACCCCTCTTCCTTCAGATATTAGTTGGATTTTGATGGTGCAGGTTAGTGTAAATTTATTGACAGTTGCCTGGATGACTTCTTTTTGTATAAAGGCAATGAAATAACTGCCCTTGTACAATACAGCTAATTGAACCAGAGAGCACTGAATATCTTTATATTCAATGGGTTTCATTTAGTGGGACATGTATGCTTGGTTGTAATAAAGCAGAATACCCCAACCATCGCTTATAGTTTTTTTGGTCTTAAATTTCATTGAAGGTGGCATTAAAAAGTCCTAAATTTGACTTTTTAAAACCCTTCGGATACCCAATTTCATCTCTCCCTAAAGCTTCAGCCTGCAGTAAGTTGGGATGTAATGATTGGTCAGGGTGAAGAAAGTTAGTCACACTGGACCTCCTCCCTCTGATGAGAAATGCTGAAAAAAAGAAAACATTTACTGATTTCAACACTTCTCTTTTGACTGTCTCTGATATTCCTTATATTTATATAGTGAATCATTTATTAAAAATCAGCATTAACATCTTTTTAACACCATATAATTATAATATACTCAGCTCAGTTTTATATAGAGTATAAGTCATTTATTTTGTCTGGTTGTTTTACTGAATCATATTACTGTAAACACACAGATAATCACCCTCCTGTTTCAGCTTACTTTGATCTTATGTCAATCACAATACCCCTATTAATACAACATTTGATTAACATACAGATTAAATAACTCATTCACCATTTTTGTTTATTGCATACAGTTTTACCCTTCACCCCCTCTATTCCTCGCTGCCATTCTTGGCCTGGGGCAGATAGTTCTCAGACTTCTTTGACAGAGTTCCACAGGAAATTAATGGAGAGGGAGCGAYGTTGCCTCCAGTGTGTCGAGCCCATAAACATGACCAGATATGAAGTGTTTAGGGTACAGACCTACTTTTATGTCATTGCAACCTCATCTCCTGATCATTTTTGTTTAACACGCATCTGTTTTAATGAAGACAGGCCACTTTAGATGCAAGTTTGTACATCTGTAAACTTGGTTGAGTTGTAGCAAAAGGTTATTCATTTGTAAATGTACAACAATTRGTTAGATGGAAGTGTTTTATTGTAATAAGAATCACTGGTCAAGTTTTTGTTGTCGTTTTTAGATGGGTTTGCACAGCTCAGCTTTCTGGTCATAAACAAGTGATCAGTCTGTAATTCATCTTTATTTTCTGCACAGAAAGCGTGGCATCCCAACACGTTGTTGTCTAAAGAGTCCTACCAGGATTACAGCTCGTTTGTCCGGATGATATTTGATTTAGCAAAGCAAATCGAGTCAATTCATGTTTCAGTGAAGGTAGGTGAAGTTTTCAAAGTCCAAGCTTGGAAAATGTTTCAACTCATTCAATAAAATATATATATATATAAATGTACTTATTATTGCAGCAAGTGTGCCTGCAGCCCAACGAATTCCAGTCAGTGAATTTCAAATGTTACTCAGCAGGTTGGTGTCTGATTATATGCATTTTATTTGTTTTAACTTTGATTTTTAGAGAAATCTGCAGTTATGTTTTTCTTGTCATGTTGCGGCTTTTAGCTCTGAAAAAACTAGAATCCATGACGAAGAGCAGCCTGACAACATGTGTTACACCAGGAGACAAGCTGGGTATGTGCCACTAATCTGTGATTGTCTAATTCAGGTGATATACTMAAAAAAAACATTTAATGTTTTTCTTTACCTATTTTAATGTTAGGCTGCTTCATTTAAAAAGTGTTATCGCTCTGTTTTCAGTGTACAATACTGGCGCAGCACATGATATGCCAACATTTAAAAGCTCCAAATGCAAACTTCGCTGCCAGGTAATGAATTGGTATGGAATTGGCATGAGTCTTATTTATTTACCAGAAAATAAAAGTTAAAAAAAAGTTGGATAAAATTACTTGTTCTTATTTGTTTYTTCAAAAAAGGATTGCAGTGTTGTTTTCGAAGATATTAAACCTTACCTGCAGCATCTGTCAAAAGATCACCACGGAAGGGTAAATGACAAGTTTTTGATTTGACAAATTATCAGTAATTGCACTTATTATTGGTAAATGGTAAATTGCTTGAACTTATCTAGAACTTTATTAAGTCCCTACAGACTCCAAAGAGCTTTCACTTCAATCTTTCACCCATTCATACACATTCAAAACACTTGACCTTCATTGTAACAGCTCCTAATGTTCTTCTCCAGATGCTGATAAAATATTTTGGTCAAGGTAATATTTACTTTTCTCTGATCTGTGTCTTATTCTTTTGTAATAAAATTTATTAAAATATGTTATTTCCCCTCCTTCTACAGCAGGTGTGTCTGAGAATCGGTCAAGAGGTATTTCTTTTTTTTCTAACAGAACATTTATCAATACCAATTTGACTGTTACTAACAGACAGGAGTAGTTCTGATGGTTAAAAATATCTGAAAATCAATTCTCATATTTTAAAGTAAAATTTTAACTTGCCTCATTTTGCTGATCACATCATTTTCTTTACCCAAACTGTCTTCCATAACTTAAGCTCATATGGTCTTAAAAAAMCCATTTAATCTTTTGTATGTCTGCCAGGCTGTTTGTTTTCCTGTTTAAATCAAGGCTACATGCATACATCATGGTGAACGTCAGGTCGCTCCAGACTAAAATGGTTGAGCTGTCAGCACTAGACAAAGTACTGTGTAGTGTAGTTTAATGGGCTTCACAGAAACCTGGCTATACTGGGATGTTCCTGAACATGACATCATCATAAAGGGGTTTTGTGTTTCAAGCAGACAGACTGTACCAGGAGTAGGATGAGTGTACTTGAGCCGAAGCCTAYGCGCACATGGTCATTTTTGCGCACACCTATCATAGCCCCTCAGACACTACGCTTAGCTCCTGGGAAACCCCTCCTGCTGCGGWACRCATCGCACCGGGTTTCTCCTTGTTGGCATTCTCACTCGAGAGAGAAAAAGGTTTTGGCCACAAATATGTCTTGGGTAAAGCCCAGTTTTTGGCAGATGGATTCCTCCATGCACGTCTGTTTTATTCATGAGTTTTTGGCCATTTTATTATATTTGTAAATGTCTGCTTCTGGGAACAACAGCCAGATTCTGAAAGTGAGTAAATGAAGCAGAATGAAGCGTCCGAGCACTTTCAGCATGAACAAACATGTCCACACACTTCTGACCAATCACACAATCATTTTTATGCAAAGGGTTGTGACAAAAAGAGGTGGAAGACTTAAAGCTTTGAACAAAATGATGCAATTTTTGTCACAACTGCTGCAACAAGAACCAATTTTGGCACTTTGGATGGAGTATGCAGTGTTCTTAACACCAGAGACAGAACAATTGGGGTCATAGTTCATCCTTCCCCCATTGTTTGATCACAATYGTCCCCTGCTATGTGCGTTTTGTGAAGAGACTATCAGCTAGATGAACAATGGACCAAAATGGCCATTGAGACACTGCWGGGGTGTCCAGAGGTAACAAAACTSTCACCAAATACAATATGCCTMCACTGGGGAGTCGTGGGAGTGATCCTTGGCCTGATATTAGAGGCACACAATCCCTCATATTCTGTAAGAAACAAAATAGCACTTCTCTTCAGTAGCTGTGTTTCCATCATTGTTTTTTAATAGAGCTAGGCGGTATGACCAAAATTTTGTATCATAGTATTTTCAACATTTTCACCGGTTTCACTGTATTTGACGGTATTTTTCTTTTCATCATAGCTCAGCTGATAATTTCTCCATTTTCCTGAGATGCGACTTTTACTTCCTGTTTACTACACACATGCATCTGACATAATTGATTCGCTTCAAGCCAGTTGAAGGAAACACGTCTGATTCACATTTCTTCGTTTTTTTCCTTTTTGCGAAATTTTAAAAATTAGCTCAAAATTCGAATTAAAATTGGATGGAAACACGGCTTGTAACAAACAAAATAGCACTTCTCTTCAGTAAGCAGCAGAAATACCATCTCATTCCCTAAAAACTGTGCTGTCTTACGTTTCTGTTGGCGTGTAATGTTGAAGTGGTGTGAACTTCTATAAAACAAATGCGTTTTAACCAAAAATTATCAGGAGACGAGGTTCCAGTGACGGCCAGTTTAGAGTTTTATTGAAGCAGTTTTCACATCTGAACAGTGTACATCATCACAGGCAGACCCCAAACACCCAGTCTCATTGAGACACCACAAACATATATACTCTTTGTACATGCAGACCATATGGGTGTGACGACACACAAACACTTGTCTAATGATTTACACAGTCATGAGACAACAATCCTTGCGTTGTCTTTATTCCCCGTTACACACATACCATTTAACATTCTGTCCAGCTCACACAATCCTTTCTCCAACATGGCCCAGGCCTCTCTTGCAAAATAGATCTGCAATTTTAATGGGATTTGGCTGGTTAAATAATAATTAATAAAATCTGGAGACGTTACAAGAACGATACTTTCCTGACGTTCGCCCAAGTGGTGTCTGACAAATTTTTCTAGCCTTGTGATATTAATAGTGTAAAGATTTCCTAACTGAGATTCACTACGTATTTAACAATGGTATAGATAAAAAAAAAGTTTCACACCTCTTCACATGTAATGTTGAAGTGGTGTGAACATCTTATTTTTTTAATATTCTTAGACTCTGGCTGTACTCAGCTCTATGCCCATGTATAGAGAGAGGCCTTTACACAACCTCCTCACATCTGCGCACACAGACTGATGGCCAGAGAAATTGATGACTCACACATGCCTCTTCTGAAGCTGCAACGCAAGCAGCTACTTGATTAGCAATGGGAAGACTTTGCCAGAACTTCTCCTGACAGTTTCTCTTCTGACCTTTTTAATCTACTTTTAACCACTTTCACCTGGCTGTTATTTTCTCCTTTTCAAAATTTTAATTCCCCCATTGAGAATTAAAAGAATCTCTGATTCTAGTTCTGAAAATAACACTGAGAGTCAGTATACATCCAAGTTTGAGTGAGTGGTGTTTTTTGTCTGCTGTATTGTCATAAAAGCAAGTTTTTATATTCTCTCCTTTGCTTTTCTTTTAGTGAGATTGCGCTTGGTGTTGTACACCTACGCCTGCAAGAGTCTGAGAGCAAATCAACCACTTGTTGGTGAGGATTCTCTCATCCTCGCGTACAATTATAATTTGAGATTAATCTCAGAAATTATTGACGTTCTTTTTAATTTTGTTTTGTTTCAGGAACAGACCTGGTTGTTTCATGCGTCTCTTCAGGCATTGACGTGAAACCGATTTTATTGTGTTTTTGTTGTCTGGAGAGTTTTTCTGAGCCCTTCATCAGGGAGCATTTCGAGTCTCGAAAACATCTCGTAAACACGCTGGTACGCCTTTTCAAAATGTAGCGTACATATAATGCAGCTGCAATGGCCAGCCTGACTTCTCCTACATTTTGAAAGGTGTGTAATGACTGCCTTGTCTGACATCAGATGTACCAGAATCCGTGGCGTCTGCCGTTCGCCTGGAAAAATGACCTCAATGACAACGCACTGAAGTTGATGGCGTGGCAGGAGGAGGAAGAGGAGGGAAGGCTAAATAAAATGTGTCTGAAGGTAAAATGCAAGATTCTTAGTTTATTTTCTAACTTTAAACTTGGTATCAAAGATTGGTAATGTTGTGGAAAGAACTTAAATTTTTATTTTGTTTTTGCAGGTTCTGGATATTCCGTACTCAACATTTTTCAACCTCAACCCTTCTGATTACAAGCAAGGTTTGAACTAAAGAGACAGTCTCATTTGATTTTAACTTATTGAATAATATGAACATTGTCTAGTTAAAGTACTGTTTGATAAATATTTTATCTTGTTCTTGTTTGGACTGCAGTCATGAAAAGCCTTCAACATTACCACACTCTCTTAAAGCGGGATGGTTAGTCATAACATCTTTTTCATTATTTAATATTTTTTTATATAAATATATGTATTTAATTAGTTTTTTGTCTGTTTTATATTGTTTTAGTTCCGCCCTGCAAAACCTTCAGCAAACTTCAACAAAATGCAAAGTTTCCTCTGCTTGGTGAATGCCTGCATTAAAAACATCTTTGTTTTAAAATACCACAGAAGAGGTGTACAGGTGTTTTCTGACACTTCTTTTTTATTCATTCAGGCAAACAATACATGGTGTCACACGATCTGAGTATCAGCAAAAACAATCTTGTGACAGGATTTCTGTGYTTGCTCTGTGAGAGGAGGCTGTCGCAGGAAGAATCTCAGGCACACRTCTTCAGTTGGGAGCACGTTGCCACTTATCTGGTGAGCCCCTCCCCCCATTAATTGTGCTTGCATYGATTACACTTCTGTATTTATTGTGTTGTGTCTGAAAATTTTTTGAATAAAGTGTTTTTTTTAAACGATAGCAAATGTAAAAAGCTTTGAGTTTTCTCTTACAAGATGTCACCAGTAAATCAAACTTCCTGTTTTTTTTAAACAGATCTCTATATTTAGCATTAATTCTCATTGTACATGCTCTGACACTGATTTAAAAWGTTAAATATTTAGACAGTTTAGCAGAAGAGCTGCTGAAGTCTACACAACATTGAAGGTTGACAAACGTTCAGATGAAACTTGATTTCTAGCAAAGCAGATTTATTCAGTTTGTTTACAGTAATGTCAGCAAATATATAGATTTTACATGTATGTACATATATATGTACATAGTAATGAGTTTGTTTACTCWCAGGAACGTTTTCACCCGGGCTCASTAAATCCCAGCATTGACGACCCAGAGACGCTACTGGACCTGGCAAAACAGGCGACTCAAACTGTTGGTTTCAGAGCGTCTAATTACCAGGTACTTTACTTTAGATGATGTATTTCTGCACCATCTTCCTCTAGCATCTCRTGATGCATCTGTTTTTGTCGGACTCCTTAGGAAATTAAACTAGCCCATCCCATCTGGGAGCCCTGCACCTTTAAAAAAGGTTAGCTTGCAGATTCTGTTAAATATTCCTCCTTGGCGACTGAAGCCATATTTTGACTATTTTGTGCTGTTTTTATTCTAGCAACATGTATCTTGATGGGCGCAAAGCAGAGAGAAGGAAGAGGAGCACTTATGACACCAATAAAGCCCTTGAGGAAGCTGGGTAAGCTAAAGCAMCGAATGAAACTGCGTTTGAAAACCACGCAGAGGTTTTTAAGTTGGTATGAACCAGATTAGTATGTTTTTAAAGARGCTTTAAAGGATTTGGGTGGTTCATTTAGGATTCGATTTAGACCCTTTTCTCCAGTGATTAGTACCTTTTTGATGCTTCATTATAACAAGAAATATTTTTTGTGAAAACACTTTGGAGAAAATCCTTTTCTGCTCCATTACCTGCTGATATTGCTTGGCCGGCTTGACTGATGTGAATATCTTGTTTCACGCGCACTATTGTGACGTTTTGCTATCGGTTTCAGTTCCCAGGAATATTTGCAAAAAAGATSAACAGAGTCAAGAGAGTGACGGTTGGAAGAACGACCTAGACTCTGGCAGGCATGAAAATGAGCACAGATGTGAGGAGGAGCCACAAACGGTGAAAGCAAACATCCAGGTTAAAGAAGAAAAGCGAAGCGATGAGGAGACGGCAGTGAAGGAAAACGTCCAGATAAAAGAAGAAAAGCGAAGCGATGAGGAGACGGCAGTGAAGGGAAACATCCAGATAAAAGAAGAAAAGCGAAGTGAGGTGGAGACCCAAACGGAACTGTTTGTCAAAAAAGAGATGCCTGGAAGTATTAGTGAAGAAGAGACCGTCCAGCCTTTAAGGGTGAAAACAGAAAAGGATTGGACTGAAGTAAAAATTGACGAAGCTACTGAAGGCTGCAAGAAGATGGAGAAAAATGAGATCAAAAAGAGCCCAAGTATTAAATGTGTAACCACACAAAAGAGTGATGTTCACCAGAAAAACAAGAGTGAACAACTTCCATCTAAACGATCCAAAAAACGAGCATGTTCAAGTGAAGATGTGGGGGAAAAAACGAGCCCTAAAAGACCTCGRTCTGCCTCCAAAGACGACTCCTCCCTTGAGCAACCTGTAAAAGTTCCAAGAATTGACATGAGACAAAWAAATCACTTGCCGGAAGATTTTAGCAGAATATCTACACAGTTCTTTACATGTTGTTGCGTTAATCGAGAGCCAGTCCATCTGTGTGGGAGCTGCTGTCAGAAGATCCCAAAGAACGACGTCTTCAGTCACCTGACYGAGTCTCAACACCAGAAGATGGATCARCTGGTGAGGAAATGATRCAAAACCATCGAATTAATAAAACATTGACTTGACTCTCATAATGATAATCGACCTATTTGGAATTATTTTATGGATTTTATTAAATGTTGTCTTAATTCCAGGAGGTTCATCTGGATGAAATAACCTACAATAAAATCTGTAACCAAAACTTTCTATCAGGTACGAGAGCGTTCTATTGTTTTGWAGTTGAAGCAGATTTAGTGCGTTTAGGTTTGAACTTTGCAATAATTCTTCGCTTCTTTTTYAAAGTGATCCAGATCCTGCTGGACAGAGACCGTGTTCTGTCCTCCACCTCCCCTCAGTCTGGTTATGAACGTGACGACATTTCAGAGACGCCTCCGGACCGATGCTGGGATGACCGAACGGTCAGTCAGTAGTGTGTTTTTAAGTCATCTTGTATTCTTTGCAGTAGGCYGATACAGAGAGTAATTGTATTTTAGTTGTCAACAAACTCCACTGAAGAACGGCAAGTGCAACATTAATGGTTCTACACCGTTTCTTCTGTTTCCTCCCCACATTTCTGTCTTGAACAAATTTATGTCTGTGGAAAGCCCCTGCTGCTGCCCACTGGTGACAGCCAGGATGACTTGTGAGGCTCTGCTTCAGCTTATCTCCCATTCTTTCTTTTTATGTTGCACARTTAAACCCAAATACTAATACATTCATTAAAACAATGTTTTATTTAATCCTACAAACTACATAATATATTGTTTGAAAAATAATAAGAAAACATATTTTTAATTCATATCAGTATAATTTATGTTGATACATTTGCTGGTTACAAGTTCTTTTTATAGTTCTAAAAATTAAAAACGGTGCAAAAAGTTTCAAATTGAGATATTTAAAATGTTAAAAGCAGATCTGAACTCTTTGGTCATGAACTCTGACTAAACTAAAATNTTAAAAGCAGATCTGAACTCTTTGGTCATGAACTCTGACTAAACTAAAATTGTTCCACATTTGTTGTAAAATAGGTGGGTTCCCTTTCAGTCAATGCACTCAGTACAACACATGTATGGGAAACCACGCCCCTGCGTGTCCTGGCTGAAGCCACCTCTAATCATGCCTTTAGGCAGGTGACGTGATGACGACAGATGTCAGGCTCCGCCTACACATATATATACTGTACTGTCGCCATCACAGTCACTCCTTAGTTCTATTGCTCTTCACCTCGCTAGAACACCACCTCTTCCAACCTAGCTAGTTAGCTGCTTCTAGTTAGCTTTGTTTGTTGGAAGGCTCTTAAAGTTAGCTTAACTGCTTTTGTTGGTGTTGGCCGCTACTGCCTACAGGTAAGTGTGTCTGCCCGCGGAGCGCTAGCTTTGAGTAGCCTTTCATTTCAACAAAATATAATATTTTGTGGTTCGGGATAATCACAAAATTACCTCAAGGAGCAGAGGTCGTCGGTCGCCCCTGTGGGCGCGGCTTCTTGCTCCGTGAGAGGGACAAGCACGAGTCTTGCCCAGTCTTTCTGGGGGTCGTTCACACTCTGAGAGCGTTGGCGGAGCCCGAAGCATGTGCGTTTCGCCGCCAGCTTCGTCGCTCAACCCTGGAGGGACGGGTTAAGTCCTTAGAAAAAGTGCTGGGCGAAACCGTGGTCTTACGAAAAGACCCACTCCTCTCCGAGTCCAGTAACCTGGTTCCGTCCGAGTCTGACGAGGAATATTTGTCGGTCAAAGTCCCCGCTTCCAGCTGGGCGGACAGAGTAGAGTACAGGAGGGGTTAGCCGTTTATATTGGCTTGGATGTTCATCTGTCGAAAGACGACGAGGAACCCGGCCTGGTCTAGATGCCCCGCTGCTGCGGAGGCGGACCAGGTCTTTTCTCTCCTTGTGTCGTCGTACGGTTCAGAACAAAAACCGTCGCGGTTCACGGGATTTTTCTCCCCACTGAACCGACCGCGGTGAAAAACTGTCTTCCCATGTTCCCAGACTTTGTCTCGGAGCTGACTTCCTGCTGGAGCAAACCTCTGTCCACCCGTGTCACAGTACCCGATTATGGGCAGTATTTCTGTGTAGATTTTCTGCTGCGCAGCTTGAAAAATTTTACAAGGCTCAGGCCACCACTGCTCGCGGTCTGAGCTCTGTTAGCATGCTCCAGACATACCAAGCTACAGTGGTGTGAAAAAGTGTTTGCCCCCTTCCTCATTTGCTGTTTTTTTGCATGTTTGTCACACTTAAGTGTTTCGGAACATCAAACCAATTTAAACAATATTCAAGGACAACACAAGTAAACACAAAATGCAATTTGTAAATGAAGGTGTTTATTATTNTACATTTGCTGGTTACAAGTTCTTTTTATAGTTCTAAAAATTAAAAACGGTGCAAAAAGTTTCAAATTGAGATATTTAAAATGTTAAAAGCAGATCTGAACTCTTTGGTCATGAACTCTGACTAAACTAAAATTGTTCCACATTTGTTGTAAAATAGGTGGGTTCCCTTTCAGTCAATACACTCGGTACAACACATGTATGGTAAACCACGCCCCTGCGTGTCCTGGCTGAAGCCACCTCTAATCACGCCTTTAGGCAGGTGACGTGATGATGACAGATGTCAGGCTCCGCCTACACATAAATATACTGTCGCCATCACAGTCACTCCTTGGTTCTATTGCTCTTCACCTCGCTAGAACCCCACCTCTTCCTACCTAGCTAGTTAGCTGCTGCTAGTTAGCTTTGTTTGTTGGAAAGCTCTTAAAGTTAGCTTAACTGCTTTTGTTGGTGTTGGCCGCCGCTGCCTACAGGTAAGTGTGTCTGCCCGCGGAGCGCTAGCTTTGAGTAGCCTTTCATTTCAACAAAATAGAATATTTTGTGGTTCGGGATGAGCACAAAATTACCTCAAGGAGCAGAGGTCATCGGTCGCCCCTGTGGGCGCTGCTTCTTGCTCCATGAGAGGGACCAGCATGAGTCTTGCCTGGTCTGTCTGGGGGTCGTTCACACTCAGAGAGCGTTGGCGGAGCCTGAAGCATGTGCGTTTTGCCACCAGCTTCGTCGCTCAACCCTGGAGGGACGGGTTAAGTCCTTAGAAAAAGTGCAGGGCGAAACCGTGGTCTCACGAAAAGACCCACTCCTCCGAGTCCAGTAACCCGGTTCCATCCGAGTCGGACGAGGAATATTTGTCGGTCAAACTTCCCGCTTCCAGCTGGGCAGACAGAGTAGAGTACAGGAGGGGTTAGCCATTTATATTGGCTTGGATGTTCATCTGTCGAAAGACAACGAGGAACCCGGCCCGGTCTAGATGCCCCGCTGTTGCGGAGGCGGACCAGGAGGACACGTCTTTTCTCTCGTGTCGTCGTACGGTTCAAAACAAAAACCGTCGCCGTTCACGGGATTTTTCTCCCCACTGAACCGACTGCGGTGAAAAACCGTCTTCCCATGTTCCCAGACTTCGTCTCGGAGCTGACATCCTGCTGGAGCAAACCTCTGTCCACCTGCGTCATAGTACCTGGTTATGGGCAATATTTCTGTGTAGATTTTCTGCTGCGCAGCTTGAAAATTTTTACAAGGCTCAGGCCACCACTGCTCACGGTCTGAGCTCCATTAGCATGCTCCAGACTTACCAAGCTATGTCTCTGGCGGAGCTCGGAGCTCTGGTATCGCCCGAGAGTCTTCTGTTACCTCTCTTTAACGAGGTCAGACTCACAGCGGATTACATTTTCCGTGCGTCACGCTGTGCAGGGCTCTCCCTGGGCAGAGAGATGGCTTCAAGCGTGGTGGCGCAGAGGCATCTGTTGTTGATGCTCTCTGATGTCCCCGACAGAGTCCGAGCTGCATACCTGGATGAACCAGTTATGGCTGCTGGGTTATTTGGTCGGTCTCTCGACGTCATTCAGATGAAGTTTGAGCTGAGGGGAAGCAGGCTGAAGCCCTGCGCTGTATTGTCCCCAGACGTGACGCGAGACCGAAGACTAGCATACAGAAGCCGGCAGCCGCCTCCTGTTGAGAGAGCAGTGCTGACTGGGAGCCTCAGAGGAAGAAGACAGTCCTCTTAGCTGTGGGACTGTCACTTCAGGGCCAGGGAGACATGGTCGCCTGCTACTGGCTGCTGCCCAAAAGGCATCTTGTTTGTTTTGTTCAGGGAACCAGCCCCAAGAGGCGCTGCGTTTCCCTCACACAGTCTCCCAAGCACCAGTCCCACCCCACTCACATAGTGTTTGCACTAAAAGCCCCCAGTTTGGGTGCACTAAATGTTTAAAGCACAACTATCTCTAACGTTTGTGTAAATGTGTCAAAAGGGTCAAAGTATAAACTTTACACACAAATAAATCAAAAAGCTATGGGCGACAGTCGGGTAATGCTGCGCCTCTCTCATACGACAGAGGGCAGCAGCACATCGCCAACACAAGTTGGTCGCCTAGCGATGCCACTCTCTCAGGCGCGCATGCGCACCATCCCCTTGGGTGGAAAGAACTGTTGCGATGGGTTACCTGCTACAGTTTCGCATAAGGCCGCCTCCTTTCAACACCGTGGTAAACACTGTTGTTGGGATCAAAGCAGCCGTGGTTTTGAGAGAGGAAATAAACATGTTACTGGCAAAAGGTGCCATATGTGTGGTCCCTGCCTCGGACGTGAACAAAGGTTGGTACNGGTTCTGCAGCAGGACAATGATCCTAAACATACCAGTAAGTCCACCACTGAATGGCTGAAGAAAAACAAAATGAAGACTTTGGAGTGGCCTAGCCAAAGTCCTGACCTGAATCCTATTGAGATGTTGTGGTATGACCTTAAAAAGGCCGTTCATGCTCGAAAACCCTCTAATATAACTGAAATAGAACAATTCTGCAAAGATGAGTGGGCCAAAATTCCTCCAGAACGCTGTAAAAGACTCATTGAACGTTATCGCAAACGCTTGGTTGCAGTTGTTGCTGCTAAGGGTGGCCCAACAAGTTATTAGGTTTAGGGGGCAATCACTTTTTCACACAGGGTCATGATGGTTTGGATTTTTTTCTCCTTTAATAATAAACACCTTCATTTACAAATTGCATTTTGTGTTTACTTGTATTGTCCTTGACTATTGTTTAAATTGGTTTGATGTTCCGAAACACTTAAGTGTGACAAACATGCAAAAAAACAGCAAATGAGGAAGGGGGCAAACACTTTTTCACACCACTGTATGTCTCTGGCGGAGCTCGGAGCACTGGTTTCACCCGAGGGTCTTCTGTTACCTCTGTTTAACGAGGTCAGACTCACAACGGATTACATTCTGAGCGCGTCCCGCTGTGCAGGACTGTCCCTGGGCAGAGGGATGGCTTCAACCGTGGTGGCGCAGAGGCATCTGTGGTTGACGCTCTCTGATGGCCCCGACAGAGACCGAGCTGCATACCTGGATGAACCAGTTATGGCTGCTGGGTTATTTGGTCGGTCTCT